CATTTCCACTGCTATCCACACTTGTATCTGTATCTGGTAGAACGCCTGCTCACCGCTCAATCCAATTAAAAGCCGAAACCATCTGTCGTCGGTGCCCCAAAAAAATAGGTTTGCTGTTAGCTGTGAGCTCCCAGTAGAACTGCCCCGATTTGAGTCAAGTGTTATTTTGGGCGCTTTGTGTGCGCCACAATTATACGACAATTATAAATAAGTAGCTAATACCTTTATCTAGCGGCGACGTAAGTCAGCCGAGTTTAGATGGTGTCGTAGTGCCGCTAGCGGATATCTTTCTCAGCGGCTGCATGTATCCGTATCTGGACAGCGGCCAAGATTTACGAGTTACACTCGGCGGATTCCGAAGGGGAGTGCGTCATGCTGCCGGGTTATTGGCATCGGAACTAACTGTTTTCGGTGCGATCATTGCCACTCACCTTTCGGCCGGCTATTGCACTCAATTACCAGGTGGCACAAAGAGTGGAAATGGAAATGGAACTTTACCGCACACATGAGAACCCGTTTTTACCTCCCAGCGAGCCCTCAACTCATCTGTCGACACTTGGTCTAGATACATGCGAAAAAAGCGCTAAAAGATACAAGATAATCTTCTCTCTCTCGGCCAAAAACAGATATAAGTTGAACTGGATTTGTACAAAGAAAAAATAAGAATAAAGTTGTGACGTTTTTTTTGTTTATGAATACCCAATTCTGTCTGTCGGGCAATTTGGAATGTCAAAGTTGACAACTGCATGGTAAGTGGAAAACTATGAGATTTATTTGCCTGCAGCGGCATGTGAAAATGCATTTTCGGTATTCGCGGTATTGTGGCGTCATTTTTAAGGTCCATGCTTGGTTGCATGTGCGGCAGAGCTTTGTTGACGATACCCTATAAATGGCCGAAAGGTATTTCGATTATGCTGCACTTAGCCGCCACAAAATCATAGCAAGAATAAATTAGGGGCAAATCGATTAAGGGGCTAATAACCTGCCATCATGTACATTGAAAGGGTAAACGGTATGAACTGGTTGGTTCACTTATGAAGCCGATTACTTAAGTCAAAGAGTTGGATGGTCAAGTTGAAAGTTGAACCGGACATATAAACAGGAATGGCGAACAGGAAGGTTTACGAAAATGTTGCATTTTTACAAATTAACAGAGGATTAGCAGGAAAACACAAACTTGGAATATCCACTGTTTCAGATCGGCAGAAATATGTTTAAACTAGTAAGTTAGGATGCAATCTTGCTTTCCATGCATAATATCAACAAAATATATATAATCAAAATCTAATAAAAGACAATTTGAACGCCTTTTATGACGCGTCTTAACAAAAGTGCTCACATGAAGCTATTGCAAGTGCCTCGAAACAATTGAAATTTGGTTTAACTGGCAGTTGGAATCAACTTAGAGGTCTGATCTCATGGTAACCATCTCGCAGGGATTCCCATTGCAAACCGCAGAGCATCTGGCATTCGATTGCCAGCCAGCCAACCATCCGCACTCTTTATAGAGCATTTGCACGCGAGCCAAGACGCTGATGAATACCATCATCATGTAATACCCGAGAAATGTGTAACGATGAGGCAATGCCAGCCGGAGTGGGATTATGAATGGCCAGGTTGGGATGTGCCGACTCACTGGAGGGACCTCGTAAAAATTGACTATGCTAATGGGGCGGCGGAAATCGGGTATTAGCCCGGGGTAATTTGCATAGGAAATCGGCTGGGATTTGGGATGCACAATTAGATGCTCAGACACGTTCTCCAGACGTGGATGCCGAGTACTCCGCCCAGCTTAACTGGCAGTAGGTAGAACCATTGGGTGGACCCAATGGAACCGCTTGGGACGCAACCGATCCGCAGTTGCATGTCGCCAGTTGCATGGAGAAAGGCTGCGGCAGCGGAAAAAGAGAAAACAAATGATATGTAACCAAATTTCTTCCTGGCGGCCGGTCTGCTGAAAAAAGAAACTGCAAAACTGGTCCACCGTGACCCACTAAAGCCTCTCTTTACTTTTTACTCGAAAATCAGCCGCCAAATGCTGACTTTAACACCAACATTGGCCAAAAGGTGCAAATGGACCCGCTCCATTTTATTCATTTCGCTTAGGTGAAGCTACCGTGAGTCTCGTTTACTTTAAACTTCAGTTAATGGATTTTAAAACACAGCGAGCAGTCATCAGTTGTATTTTTAGAAACATTTTGCCGCAACTTTCACTTTGCTGAATAAAAAATCTATCAAAGCAGAGAGATAAGATTTCTGAAAAATTGCAATTTACTGCTGTGTATTCTTTTAACGTTTTTGATGAGAGTGTTCTTATTCTTAGTTATTATTAGTACCTAACCAAAGTGTCTTCAACACAAGGGTTAAATTTGCAGCCCAGTGCGTTTTCGGCAACTAAACAAGATCAACAAAAACGACACAATAAAATACGACTGGCACGGCTTCATTGGTTTTGCGGTTAAAATGTTGCAACAAGAACTGGCAATGCCACAAAACTTGGCCAACAAATAACGCAGTTAAATAAATGAGTCGAAGCTTTGAATACACTTGGTATTTATTGAAAAATATGGAAACTTCGACGTTGTTGTGCAAGAAGGGCTATAAAAAAGGGTTTATTTTATTTGCTAGAATATACAACTTTATAATTCATTTTTAACTTGTATAGCTGAGCTATGAAATCTGCGGCCTCAATTTCGTAAGGTTCGCCCAGAAGAACCTATAAAAAAGCCATAACCATTGGGCTACCCACTTTTGTCCAGACTAATAATACCCCTTGCATAGCGGCATCAAAACCGCGAATCAGCGGCAGCAAACTGCGAATCTATAAAAATGCAAATTAGAAGAAGCGAAAAAATAACACAATAAACGACTCCGGGAAACTGGAACAAGCCGAGGCTGCGATTCAGACTAAGACTGCAGCTCCAACTTCGATTTGGATACAGATCGAGGGGCCACCAATAAACGTTACTCGTGCTATTGCCTCTGGGCCGCAAAAGAGTTGAGATCTATGGACTGACTGGCTGGACAGCCCAATTGGTCAAGAAGCTATTTGGGTTAACTGCAGCTGCAACTCGCTGACGATCGGAAAACGCTGACCAATTAATTGTGCGGAAATCTGCGAGGCGCGTCATAAATACTGTCGCTTTTCTCATCTCTCTTTCAGCAGCGGTCTTCGATGGGAAGTGGCTCCTCCGAGATGGTCAGTGGGTACATTTGCACCTGCACAATAGGCAATGCGAGAATGCACTGGAAAAAAGAAATGGTTTTATTAGATAGCTTCATATGAAGTATTTCTGAACCAGGTTAGTTCGGAGATCATTATCCTAGTGCACCTGTGAGTATTTGAAATTTAATTCAAAATAATAAAAATATAATATAAATGTAAATAAATATAACATAAATATAATATAAATAATAATTTAATATATAATAATTTAATTAAAATTAATTAATATAATTTAATATATATATAACATTAATATAATATAAATATAAAATCAAAATATCACATAAATATAATATAAATATAATAAAACAATAGAAATGTGTATATAATAATATACATATAATAAAAATCAACGAGATGCAGCCGAACGATATAGCTAGCAATCAAAATGGCTTGCAATAAACGAGATGCAGATTTCACTGGATGATCTTGCACAAAGTCGGTTGCAACATGGTTGGTAGAAAGGATACCCTGAATATTCATGTAACAGCGACCAAATTGATGGCAAATTGGTGGAAATTGCATATTCATAGGAAAATGTGAAAACTGATGTAACTCGGCTCACTACACATCTAGTTGGACCAGATCCCTTTCCATTTTCTCACTGTGCACTTGGCCGGGGGCATTCTTGCGTGCAAACCTTGACCATGAAAACCCGCTGCGCGATGCGATGACGTGCCCATAAAAGCGCTGGCCAACAATCCCAAACATTTTCCTGGCCAATTAAGAGCCAAAGAAAATTAGTAAGAAATTGAAATTGCTCAACGGCCACGTTTGCGATCACGTTTACGCCGGTCGGACGGACGGCCGATGGTCAATGGCATTCGCGGCCGGCAACTTGTGCGACAGTTACATCTATATATGCGCCACAGGCAACTGGTTTGCTGGCCAAAAAAAAAACAAACTATATAATAATATACAAAGCAAAAACACCGTTTTGGACCGGCCTCCAAGGGGCACGCTACCCAAATGGAGCCATTGCCGGTCTGTCTGTCAATTAGCAACCAAGCGACATGGCAGTGCACTGAACTTGTTACGCTTAAATTGTTGACTCCAACTCATTATAATGCCCACTGACCAACGAAAATGTGGCAATCGCACCGTTTTGGCCATTAACCCATTTTTCGGTCCGGTTCTAAGGCTATTCCGCGTGGCTCACTTCAGGTTTGAATCTATCTACAGGGTATGGGTTCTGTCGTTTTAATTGTTGCTAGCAACTTTAAATTAGCTGCAGCGTCATGCCTTTAATAGAATTTTTTGGCAATAATCAATTATTAATCAATAGCTAATGCGCTCGCTAACGGGTTTAATTCAATTAGCTCAATGGCTGGCATTATGTAATTAGTACCTCCATTTGATAATACGCTGCACTTGACTTGATTGTTTTATTAAATCATTTTATTCCCGCCGCAAACGATCTGTATTTAAGTCTTTTCAGCTCTGCTGAAGAGTAAGCAATGACTACTTGCTGTCCGAGCTCTTAAATCCTAAAGCATGCTATAAACATATATCTATATATATAAACTAAATATAATGTTTATATATATAAACTTATAAATATATAAACTCCATATATATAAACTCCATGTCCAAGAGTTCAGTAGGTTAGGCCAGCTGTGATAAGGGATTGGAGATTAGAGATATGGGGCCAGTTTGAGCTGCGATATTTGCGCAGAGTAAGTGCTCTTTCGATGGGGGAGCAGTGAAAGAGAAAGAATAAATATATTATGTGCACATATGTATGTATTCGTGGGTATGTCACAGATGTGCGTGATTGTTTTCGTTTTCATGGAGCGGCGCATGTGAAATGGGCAAACCCAAATGAGCAGTTGTGTTTGGTTTGTGAGGCTGCCAAGAGCGAAAAGCGGAAAAATCGGAAAGGCGGACGATGCATAAAATATTGGGGCTACTGTTGTTTGCCCAGTGTCTGCTGCTCACTTGGCCCACGCCCGGAAATGGCCAGTCCCCGGTGGCGCCTGAGTCCCGTCTCCTGGTGGCCATCCACTACGAGGCCCTGTGCCCGGACAGCATGAACTTCATCCGGCGCAGGTTGTACGATGCTCTCCAGGACAACGACTGGTGGTCGGTCACCGATCTGAAGCTATATCCCTTTGGCAAGGCGGGCGTGAGTAGCAACGTTAAATATGATAGGGTATACCATCATCATTTGCTCTATGAGCAAAGCAATAAAATGGAATGCGAACGCATTAGCTTAAAGATCATAAAATGGAATACATATTTCCTGATTTTGTTAGCTAAAGTTTGCTACTTTCAGTTCTACAATAACACAGCCACTGGAGCGAGGCAAGTATTTTGTCAGCATGGCGCCGCCGAGTGCGAGCTGAATGCACTTCATGGCTGCATCATTGAGACCCTGGACATCCGAAAGGCGTTCAACCTGATCTACTGCATGCTGCGCTCCTACGCGAACGAGCTGGACTCGTGCTCCAGGAGCATGGGTGTGGACGTGGCCAAGGCCAGGGAGTGCAAGAGATCACGTGCCACGGCAGATATATTGGCGCCCTATGGCAAGGAAACCCTTAAGCTGGGCATCTCCTTTGTGCCCACCATTGTGTTCGAGAATGTGAGTAGCCCACTGCATGGTTAAGTACCAGATTCGACCGAGGATTACCTTTCATTTGCAGGACTTCGATCCGTACAACCAGAGAAGCATTCGCAACAACTTTGAGAGACACTTTTGCCAGCAGTATTTGCACAAGTTCAACATTCGACTGCCCACTTGTTCTGCAATTTAGTAAACATTTATGTAATGCACTGAGCAATGTCGCCGTTTCAATGTTTTCAACACCAATGCACAATAATTACACCCAGCTGGGGCCATTATAAATTTACATATGTACGAGTATATCAGCTTATCGGGCACTTTTTTGTGTGCTGATCCCAATCAGGAACAGCTGTCTGGCGGTCTAAAAATAAGATTACAAGCCCGCTGCTCAGTGAGTTTCCCGTAATCAGTTGTGGTTGTCATGGCTTTGGTTTTTGGGCACTCAGCATGGATTCAGGGGGAAATGCTAGCCGCCAGCAGGGACGTCGACTTGTAGGATAAGCCAAGTAATAGTTCAGTGGTAAGGGTCTCAATGAAGCTTGATTTATGGCAGAAACAACACAAACAGAGTGCCTTTTCCACTACAAATCCACCACAAATATCATTTTGGAGCCCCTTTGGGCACTTTCTGCCCACGCCACTGGCCGATTTCGAATTGACGAAACGCAGTTACAACGCTGCGCACTAAAAGTCTCGGCATTATTTCAGTGTCGAGAGTTCGCTGGTGTCGAGCGGCTGAATTGGAATATTGGATCAGCTCGGGATTGAAGTGAAGCTGGAATGAGGGCGGCGGTTTTTGTGTGTCTGCTGCTGGGATGGGTGGGCGTGGCCATGCCAAGGGTAAGTGACCCAGTTGTGGGGTGAATCCGAGTCGTTGATCGTGACATTGCAGCGGCTGCGTGGAGCGCAAGCTGACCGACTGGCAATCACCCTGTACTACGAAGCCCTGTGTCCCTACTGCATGAAGTTCGTGACCAGCCAACTCAATCCGTCGATGGTGCGCCAGGATCGATTACCGTTCACTGATCTTACGCTGATTCCGTATGGAAATGCCAAGGTATGTTTCAATGCCTAATCAGTGCCCAAACATGTTCGAGCAGTTATTAAAAGATAAGGTTATTAAGTTTTGATAGCCTGAAAGTTGATAGTTGATAATGACTGCAAGCAGCAGCTCAATTTGGAGTTTTATAGCGTCAGTCAGCATTAATCCGCACTTAATCCCACTCTCCTCCAGACGAACGATGACGGAAATGTGGAGTGCCAGCACGGAGTGATGGAGTGCGAACTGAACGCCTGGCACGCCTGCATACTGGAGCACCATGACATCGCCCAGTCCCTCAAGCTGATCGCCTGCATGATAAGGGGCAAGAAGAACAGGCTGGACAAGTGCGCGGACCATTATCAAATCGATGTGGGCGATGTTAGGAACTGCAAAAAAACGCGACAGGTGAACGACATTCTGAGGAAGTACGGCGAGGAAACTGCCCGGGTCTCATTTATGGGTGTGCCGGCCATAGCTCTGGACCACGTGAGTTTCGATACAAAGAGTAATAATCCGAATCCAACTTTAAGCTTTGTGGTTTTAGGTTTATGACGCGGATCTATCGGGCAACTTAACAGATAATTTTGATGCTATTTTTTGCGCCAAGTATAAGGAGAAGTTCAACAAGCAGCTAAACAATTGCCAGTAAATATGGTTTAATTGCTTCAATAAATTTGTTATTACAACACACACACATTCGTAATGAAATCATGAAAACACGTATTTTTAATTTTCCCGCCCAGAAGTGGCGCCATCTATAACAATAAGCGCGGCGCTACCAGACCTTTACACGGTCGCTACTATTTTAGTATTTTTTTTAGCCGCTGGTACATTTCAACGCCGCAACGGTCCCACTTAACTATTTTCGCAACACGCGACGACAGGAATTTTCCACATTTCTTTGTTGATTTCTGGAAAATCGCTGTGTATAGACCGAAAAGCCGACTGCAGACTGAGCACCAGGAAAAGGCACGAGATGACCGAGACCATAAACACCGCGGCGCAGTTCCCGAGCTTCGAGAAGCCGACCGTGCAGTTCAATGAAAAGGGCTGGGGTCCCTGCGAGCTGCCCGATACGTTCAAGGATGTGCCTTACCAGCCGTTCAGCAAGAACGATCGTCTGGGCAAGATCTGCGACTGGACGAACACGTCGAACAACGACAAGAAGTACCAGAGTGAGTGCAAGCCCCTCCAGAAACCAGCCAACCCAAAAACTAACCGCCGAAAGTGAGGTTATGTGGCTGTGTCGTGGCAAGATATTGTTGCTAACATATTGGTGTTTTCATTCCGTTCGCAGACAAGTACGCCTCCAGCTTTGGCACGGGCAACCAGTACTCGTACTACCATGAGGAGGACGAGACGACCTTCCACCTGGTGGACACGGCACGCGTCCAGAAGCCGCCGCACCAGCGCGGCAGGTTCCGCAATATGAGGAACTCGCGTTCCGGTCGCGGCAGGAATGCCCGCGGTGGCCTCAATACCCACGGCATGACAACGCTCAGCGGCAAGAATGTGAAGGCACGCGATCCGCGTCATGGTCGCGGCATGGGCAAGAAGTTCGGCCACCGCGGGCCGCCGCCCAAGATGCGCGAATCTTCGGTGGCCGTGCGCGCCGATTGGGCATCCATCGAGGAGATGGACTTCCCGCGTCTCATCAAGCTGTCGCTGCCCAACATCAAGGAGGGCGTCGATATTGTCACCTGTGGCACTTTGGAGTACTACGACAAGACCTACGACCGCATCAATGTGAAGAACGAGAAGCCGCTGCAGAAGATCGATCGCATCGTACATACGGTGACAACCACAGACGATCCCGTCATCCGGCGTTTGTCCAAGACCGTTGGCAACGTCTTCGCCACGGACGCCATCCTGGCCACCATTATGTGCTCCACACGATCGAACTACTCGTGGGATATTGTCATCGAGAAAGTTGGTATGTTGAATGCAATGCGAAATCAGATAAAGCGCTCTTACCAGAAATAATCATTTTACCTTTATTTTAGGCGACAAGATCTTTATGGACAAGCGGGACCACACCGAGTTCGACCTGCTGACCGTGAACGAGAGCAGCGTGGAACCCCCCACCGACGACGACAGCTCTTGCAACTCTCCCCGCAACCTGGCCATCGAGGCCACTTTCATCAACCACAACTTTAGCCAGCAGGTGCTCAAGACTGGCGACCAGGAACCCAAGTTCAAGTTCGAGGAAAGCAACCCTTTCATTAGCGAGGACGAAGACATCCAAGTGGCCAGCGTGGGCTACCGCTACAAGAAGTGGGAGCTCGGTAGCGATATTGTAAGTGTTGCATAATCCAATGGGCCAGACTTCCACCGGCATGTTTTCTATACATAACACACCATATATAATTAACAATTATGTCCGTTTCCTTTAGGTCCTGGTGGCGCGTTGCGAGCACGATGGTGTCCTGCAGACGCCCAGCGGCGAGGCGCAGTTCATGACCATCAAGGCACTCAACGAGTGGGACTCGAAATTGGCCAATGGCGTGGAATGGCGACAGAAGTTGGATACGCAGCGCGGTGCTGTGCTGGCCAACGAGCTGAGGAACAACGCATGCAAGCTGGCCAAGTGGACTGTGCAGGCCGTCCTGGCCGGGTCTGATCAGCTGAAGCTCGGCTATGTGTCGCGTATCAATCCGAGGGACCACTCGCGCCATGTCATCCTTGGCACGCAGCAGTTCAAGCCGCATGAGTTTGCCACTCAGATTAACCTGAGCATGGACAACGCGTGGGGCATCCTGCGGTGCATCATCGATCTGGTGATGAAGCAGAAGGACGGCAAATATCTAATCATGAAGGACCCCAACAAGCCGATCATCCGTCTGTACGATATCCCAGACAATACATTCGACTCCGATGACTCGGACGATGGTGAGGGCGATGACGAAGGTTTCCAGCAGGTCTACAACTACGCGCACAACAAAATTTAGACGCCACGCCCCCTACTTCAGCATCCCTTCCAGTCTTGGGCTTCAGCCACAACCCGCTAAGAATAACCACAACTGATGTCCTATAAAGGAAAAGGCCATGTTATAGGCCCTAGCTTAAGCATTTGTATTCGATTTAAATTCAGCTATTTCCGAGTAAAGAGGGCGAAACAAATCATGTACTTTGCTTGGTCCAGGTCTAAAGCCGGGTATGTTTGTCATTTCCAATCAGCAGAACATTCTACGTACGTAAATGAGTGAATCATTTGCGATTGTTCTTGCTGGGCTTAAGCATTAAACATTGTTTAAGTGCTGACTGTTAAGGATGTTAAGGATGGACTTCTCACAAAAAGTGTACTTATCATTTTTGCTCCATGCTCAGCTGCTGATGCACTTGGCTCAATCTGGTAATTCATGTTGAGAATACTCTTCATTGTATAAGTTATGGCACTCAACAAAATTCTGTAGGATATCTGTATTTCAAAATATAAATAACTTTAATTCCGTCAATCTTCAACTTACATTTGCAAGCGTTTCCGAAACTGCGGATAGTCATGTATGTAGATATAAACATATGCGTCTGATGCCTATGAACTAATCAGTAGCAAAGTTTCAGAATTGTCAGAAGATTGAATCATTTCAATAACGAAAAACAAAAAATTCAGTTTTCCCCAATTTCTTTATTTATGGGGTAAGAATCGCTTGGTACTTCCTTCTTTTTTCAATTTCATCTGGTGGCAGCTCGAATTCGGACGACTAGCATGTTGCTCCAATCGAAAGTTTTTATTTTGGTCCTTCTTCAGGGCTTTTTCTTGGCCAAGTTGGCCGAGTCTGGTAAGCATGAGCGGTGTATTTCAAGCTTAAGTTGGCATCCGAAGGTCCTGTTTTCTGCCTAATAATATCCTTGCAGAGGCAGTTATATTTTGAGTCAAAAGTGTGCATTGAGTCAGTCACCTAAAAAATACATGTCTGTCCGTCTGTTTTATTATAAATAATTAGCAAAATGCACAATAATAGCTGTAGTATCACTAATATTACACATACCAGACTAGCTTTGTTATAAAATTGTAAGGATACCCGCTCTTTCTATATGGCTTGGATCTATTTTTGGTATTTGCAGTTCCGATATCAAGCTGCCAAAAGGATGAGAAATGCACCAGACTGGTTAGATGCTCCCCGCTGATGAATATTTTAAAGCCCCGGGGCATGACACAGGCGGAGAAGGATGTGTTTGCCCACAGGCAGTGTGGCCTTGGCCCCAATGGACGCGAGTTGTTGCACAGGGTTTACGTCTGCTGCCCAGAGTTGGGTGACGTCCTGCCCAACAACCAGACCTGCGGACGAACGACGTCCGTACTCCGAAGTCCGGGTGCCGAAAACATAGAGATAAACGAATATCCTTGGATGGGAGTCCTGCTGTATGAGAATCGGCTGTCCTTCACGTCGGATCAACGAACGGGTTGTGTGGGCTCGCTGATCAACAGTCGCTATGTGCTGACCGCTGCCCATTGCGTGACCGGTGGATACTTGACCCGCAATGACCTGGTGGTGAAGAGTGTGCGGCTGGGCGAGCACAATACGTCCTCTAATCCCGAATGCGGTGGGCATAGCTGCGCTCCGCAACATCTGCAAGTGGAGGTGGAGCAGGTTGCAGTGCATCAGGGTTTCTTTTCGAGTGGCGGAACTTACCACTACGACATCGCACTTCTCCGACTGCGATTTCCAGTGCGGTGAGCAGCAATGACTTACATTCCAAAGCTATCATCTTATGGTCTAACAAACCCTCTAGATACACGAAACGGATCCAACCCATTTGCCTACCGGATGCCGGCACCCACTTACTGGGCCTAAACCTGCGAATCGCTGGCTGGAATCCAACTGAAAGCAGTCATCCGCTGATCACGAGCACGATCAAGGAAAGGAATCCACATTATTGCTCGAATACGTATCCCCACTTCCACGCCGCGTCCCAAATATGTGCCGGTGGTCAGCGGGAAAGGGACACCTGTGCTGGCATCTCCGGCAGTCCGCTAATGGGCATAATGGCACGCGGGCTGGATCAGTTTGCCTTTTTGGCAGGGATTGCCTCCTATGGACAACAGCACTGCTATGCTGCTGGTACTCCAGCTGTATACACAAACACTGGCCACTTTTTGGAGTGGATTAGGGCAAATTTGGCGCCCTAATTTAATTTAAGATGTGCAAAGTTAAAGTTACGATTTCATAGAGAAAACATTAGAAGTGGCGTGCGCCGCACTCCTTATAGAAAACAAATGCCGAATTACTTTAAATAGCAATAATGAATATCAAATGAATGAATAATGTAATTGAAATTGTAAAACTAATAATGAAAATTCCCCTAAGAGATTGCTTGCGCTATCAGCTTGACTTTTTTTTGCATGATAGTTTTTAGTCGCTGAGATAAATGTTTAAATGCTTTTGTGTGGATGTGTTTTTTTTTTGTTTTTACTCACATTGAAGTTGAAGCGGCATCCATAGCATAATAAGGCATCATGTTGCTGAAACATAGGTTGCGATGCACCCGAATTTATCGCTACATTTGATCCGTGTTGCTAGCAACTAACTATTAGATACATTTTCTGGTACGAGCGCCTTAATTTTAGTTGACATCTGAATTGGCTAAATAAATGCATTACTTTGCATTTCTTAATTGCCGGTCAAATATCATTTGGGGTTCTTAGCTACTAGAGCTCTTCGGGTTTGCCCAGTTCATAGAAATATAAAGTCGGGAAAAGGCCACCCATTTAATTAGATTTTGCATTGGTTGAAATCTATATTGTATTTACTTTCATGATAACCTCTGCTAATCACGGCCAATGCATCGGGAGGCGAACCGCCGGTCAACTGGGTTAGTATCAGCTTGGAGCCCACAGCGACCAGATGGATTCTACGGAACGGAATTTTCTGCTGCTGTCGCTGGTGGTCAGCGCATTATCCGTGTTGGTCCAACGATCAGGTGGGTAAGCGGTCCTATACTTGACCCTGCCGCTTGTAACAAAACAAAAAACAATCATTAAACATGTGTAAATAGAAAATATAAAATATATTAGATATCAATACATAGTTCGCCGGACTACGGATGTTAGTGAAAAATATTAGTTATGAAGTCCATCAGTAATGGCTTGCCTTTAATGGAATGCTTCAGAACCGGTTAGACTGCATCGTAAATCGCGCTCTTCTCTTCTCCAGGCGCGGCACAGATCACCTTTGGCAGTTGTACGCCCCAGCAGAGCGATGAGAGCGGCCAGTGCGTCCACATCACCAGCTGCCCCCACCTGGCCAACCTGCTGATGGTGGAGCCAAAGACTCCCGCCCAGCGAGTCCTACTCTCCAAGAGCCAGTGTGGCTTGGACAACCGGGTTGAGGGCCTGGTGAATCGAATCCTGGTCTGCTGTCCGCAGAGCAGGCGGGGCAATATTGCGGAACCGGAACCAACTCCTTCAACAGGGGATGCACTGCAGCAGGGCAATGTGCTGCCTGGAAATGACGTCTGCGGATTCCTCTTCGGTGATCGCATTTTCGGGGGCACCAACACGAGCATCTGGGAATTCCCATGGATGGTATTGCTGCAGTACAAAAAACGTAAGTTGATTATTTCTGCGCTCTATTCTAATCTTTTATAGGTGGGTTTTTTCAACGAGGTCAGCTGTGCTCATGCTTTAATCACATTTTCAAATCAATTTAAAGCTCAGTTTGTCGCTTCCCAAGGATGGGATCATTAAATAGCTGCGGCTCATTATAAGACAACGTATATACACATTAAACAATGATGTTATTATAATCTCAATACAATAGTTACAAAGGCAAAGCTTTTCATGTGATGCTCATGCTCCTTTTAGTTTTTTCTGAAACCTATAGTTTCAGCTGCGGCGGCGCTTTGCTCAATTCCCGCTACGTCCTGACCGCCGGACACTGCCTGGCCAGCCGAGAACTGGACAAATCCGGTGCCGTCCTGCACAGCGTTCGCCTGGGGGAGTGGGACACCCGTACCGATCCCGACTGCGCCACCCAGATGAACGGACAGCGCATCTGTGCGCCGAATCACATTGACATCGAGGTGGAGAAGGGCATCATCCATGAGCAGTATGCCCCCAATTCCGTGGACCAGCGGAATGATATTGCGTTGGTGCGCCTCAAGCGGAGTGTCAGGTGAGTGGATCAGAGTGCCCTCAAGAATACCACTGACATGGTCGTTTGTTTGCTTCCCGCAGTTACACCGACTACGTGCGTCCCATATGCCTGCCCACAGATAGTTTAGTTCAGAACAACTTCGTGGACTACGGCATGGATGTGGCCGGCTGGGGACTCACCGAGAACATGCAGCACAGTGCAATCAAGCTGAAGATCACCGTAAACGTTTGGAACCTGACCAGCTGCCAGGACAAGTACACGACTTTCAAGGTGAAACTGGACGACACGCAGATGTGCGCCGGCGGTCAGTTGGGCTTGGATACATGCGAAGGCGATTCCGGCGGTCCCCTGATGGTGCCCATATCCACAGGCGGCCGGGACGTCTTCTACATTGCTGGACTCACCTCCTACGGCACAAAGCCCTGTGGCCTCAAGGGATGGCCCGGCGTCTATACCCGCACGGGGGCCTTCATCGATTGGATAAAGCAGAAATTGGAGCCATAATAAATACATATACATGCTAACCATGTAAATATCGCAATGGAGATAGATTGGGGGTTGATCAAGTTTAGCGAGCACAACCGGTTGCAATTACATTGAACTGCTTTTCTCTCAGCAGATCAGCGGAGTCTAGTGGGTTGCCCATGTAATTTCCCATTATCTAATGGAAAAGTGGAGGAAAATCCCTCGGACTCAGCGCGCAATCTACCTTTGTTGCAATGCACATTTCACTCAACCTGTTATATACATCCAGATATAGAGATCCGCATCTGAGAGCTTGGTTAGTATCAGCTTGGGTTCTGGAGAATCGAGATGGCTTCTACGGAATGGAAGTTTCTACTTTTGCCACTGGTGATCGGCGCACTTTGCGAATGGGTCCAACTTTCAGGTGGGTGAGCTGTCATGGCAGCCATAAAGCGATATCGTTTTCAACTAGATATATGTACTTACAATTTTCAAATATTTTGAGTGACTTAAACATGTTATATGTATATCGCTTAATGTGCAGCATCAATGGACTTCAATGAGTGAGATCAGTTCCATTTTCCATAATATGTTTTCCATGATATTTTTGTATTGACTGAGAACCGGTAAGACTGCATCGCTCTTCACTTCCAGCCGCGGCGCAAATCACCTTTGGAAGCTGTGCTCCCCCAAAAAGCGAGGAGCGTGGCCAGTGCATCCACATCACCAGCTGTCCCTCCCTAGCCAAATTGCTGACTATGGAGCCAAAGACTCCCGCCCAGCGTCTCCTCCTCGCCAACAGTCAATGTGGGTTGGACAACCGTGCTGAGGGCCACCTAAACAGCACACTGGTCTGCTGCCCGCGAAGCAAGCGGATCGACAGCGAGGAGCCGGCGGAACCATCGCATCTGCCAGGAGATAAACAGCTGCCTGGCAATGTGCTGCCTGGAAATGAGGTCTGCGGATTTTTCTTCGGGGATCGCATTCTCGGGGGCACCAACACGAGCATCTGGGAATTCCCATGGATGGTATTGCTGCAGTACAAAAAACGTGAGCTGAGGTAAATGACCTTGTATGTTCATACCTATTCATGAATATTCTGTATCATTTAGCTGACGTCAACAAATCCACATCTTTAAATGCGTTTACTTTCAACTGCGGCGGCGCCTTGCTCAACTCCCGCTACGTCCTGACCGCCGGACACTGCCTGACCAATCGGGAACTGGAGAAGGCCGGTGTCGTCCTGCACAGCGTTCGCCTGGGGGAGTGGGACACCCGTACTGATCCCGACTGCGCCACCCAGATGAACGGACAGCGCATCTGTGCGCCGAATCACATCGACATCGAGGTGGAGAAGGGCATCACCCACGAGCAGTATGCCCCCAATTCCGTGGACCAGCAGAATGATATAGCTTTGGTGCGCCTGAAGAGGAGTGTCAGGTGTGTGGATGTGACAGTATGCCATAACGTATTCAACTTTGTTACTCTTTTACCAGCTACACCGACTATGTGCGCCCCATTTGCCTGCCCACAGGTGACCTGATCCAGAACCATTTCGTAGACTACGGCATGGATGCGGCCGGCTGGGGCCTCACTGAGAACAGGCAGCCCAGTCCGACCAAGCTAAAGGTGACCGTCAACGTTTTGAACCGCACGATATGCCAGGAAAAGTACAGCTCCTTCAAGGTGAAACTATCTGACACCCAATTGTGTGCCGGCGGCATGAAGGGTATAGATACCTGCGATGGCGATTCCGGCGGTCCTTTGATGGTGTCCATATCGACAGGCGGCCGGGATGTATTCTACATCGCTGGCATCACCTCATATGGCACTAAGCAGTGCGGGTTCCAGGGATGGCCCGGCGTTTATACCCGTACGGGTGCTTTCATCGATTGGATACAGCAGAAATTGGAGGCATAATAAATAAAATTGCTAGTTTATTCACATTTCTCGCATTGGCTAGCTTACAATATTACGTACATGATGCTGATTGGGGGACGAGGGCTGGACTAACTAAGCTAAGTTCCAGTGGAATGCCTACAAGGATTTGCGTAGGCCAGCGCTCACATTTGTCGGAACAAATTTGTTAGCTGGCCTGACAACGACAAAAATTGAAACTCACTGACATTACATGAGGCGGATCCGTTTAACAATTTATGCTTAGTTGCGCGCTATATATAATTCAGCTTTACATTTCGTTTCTTTTTGTGAACTAATAAGCAATAATCTTAACAAATTTTGTTTAACTAAAAGGCTGTTTGCCAGCAATATGAGCTGAGAGAAATTCGAGATTCAAAATAGGGGCTATAAAACGCTGACCCTTGCCGGGGGCCAGATCGGACTCCCAAAACGCAAGCGGCCAAAGTCTTGTGGTTCTTCTGATAGGCACCATTTTCACAGGCATGCGCTGGGCAGGACGAGTGGCGCTCAGATCTCCTCCGGAGCAGCGCGCGGCGCCGTTCCGGAGCCAGTCGCCATGCTATTTCGTTCATCCGTAGCCAGATTAGCTCCCAAGGCGGTCAGCTCGCTTTGTAGTTGGCCCAAAACGCCCTTGACCGCTACGCAAAAGCCTCGACTGCATGGCAGCAGCGGGAATTCGGGTAGCTCGCAGGGCGCCTTGTACTCGGCAGGCATGTCTAAGGAAAGGGATTATGAATCATCGCGCAAAACTGAGCAAAACTGGCAGACTCACCCTTGATGCTGGTTATACGTCGCCGCTGTGCCTCAAGGGAATACTCTGACCAGGCCAGCATGCGGCCATACAGCTCGCTGCCAAACTGTTTGAAGTGCTCAATCAGTTCATTGCGAAAGATGAGCGGCGGATTTTTCAACTGTTTCACCGTGGAGTGGGCAATTTTTATGATGGCCATCTCGTTGTAGACACGAGAGTTCTCATTGCCCAGTTGGGTGCCTGAAAATAAATGGAAAGATAATTATAAGTCCAATCACTGGCATATAAGCAGCACTTTACCTCTTTGCTTGTCGTAGCCTGCCTCATTATAGTAGGGCTCATCGACCAGTATGAGTCCCTGTATGGAGACGAGCACCTGGAGCATGGTGCTGCTGGCCGACCACATTTCGCTGTCGCGTCCCGACCATGTGCCCAGTAGCGACACACATACCTTGCCCCCCTCGTACAAGTTTGGATTGAGGCGCTCCGTGCAGTAACTGATGTAGTGACATACCGGCGGGCTCTTTGGGTAATCGCGCCCAATTTGAAAGTCGAAGAAGAATAGGGCGTTCTGGTAGGGTGTTCGCTTGGGACCCACCATCATTACAGATATTAGGTCCATGCGATCCTCGTAGGCACGTACCACAACGCCGTCAGGCAGCGAGCTCATAAGCATGTGATACTCCCGGTGCACAGCTCGCTGATACTGTGCCTTGTTGGCGGGGGTCACCTGGTTGCTAATGAAATGATGTGCAGCTGGTGCATTGGGCAGCACTTGGAAATTATTCTCGTTATTGGAGGGCGTGTTTGGTATTATTGAACGAGATGGTGAGGAGCAGGCCATGGGACTATCAATGGCCGGCAGTGACTCGGACAGCGCGTTAAGATTCAATGGCTGCTCCACGGCTTCCTCAACCCACATTGGATCGTCCTTGGTGGAGCCGCCATTGGCCGGTTCCGCTTCCAGGTAGATCGCCTCAATAGCTTCCTCTACTTCGCTCACCTCATCGTTCTCGTGCTTGTGATAGGAATTTGACTTGCTCAACGTCTCAGCGACCGCATTGCGGCAATTGGCCATTTGTTCCTTGATCAAATAACAGAACACTTCGCAGACGTCTGCATCGCGATTGGCAACCAATTCAATTTCACAATCATCCATTATATTTATTGTGGGTCGCTTTATGACCAACTTATTTTCGCTGTCTGGATTATTGGACTCGTCCGAGGTGATGTCACCGCGCGAGTGAACGCCAGAATCATTCTGCAAGTAAAAGATAAGTTGTAGTAATTATAGGTAAGTAATAGATTTTAAAAATACAATACTTTAATGTTTGTAGTACTCTTACCTTGGTACGATTACTAAACGCTTGGGCAATACTTTCACATGCGTTGGCGAAAATTTTGGTGAACTCGTTGCGATACTTTCTCACTAACGGGGGATCATCTGGTACCTCTTCCTCCTCCTCGTCCTCCTCCTCCTCTGCCTGGCCGTCTTGCTCCTCCGTGATCTCATCCGTGCTTTTTTTGCATAGAACTTCATCCATCTCCGTAGAGGATTTTCGCTTAGTAGGAGTGGATGATGACTGACCAGGCGGAGCCATCAAAACTAGGTCCACTTCTATCTGGAGCGTTGATGACACCTTGGGAACGGCGTCCGACGACTTGGGGTCGGGTTCCGCAAGGCCATGGGTGTCAGCACAATCGTTAGAGGCACCAGTTTTGCAACGCACAATGCCATGAAACTGGTATTCATCGAAAAAGTTAGTATTCAGCAAACGGTCTAGGGCACGGCAATTTTTGTACACAGCCAGCAGATCGTTAAGCACTTCCGCTTTGCGATTGGGATGTAGAACGCGGAAAAGCTTCTCTAGAAATTTCATTGCTCTCGTGGCGATATCAATGCCTATTAAAAGGTCGTCATCGTTGTCCATTGACGATTTGCGGCTGTATTCCGATTGAGTTTCCCAGGAGTCTTCGGATCCATCCGAATCGAACGCATCTTGTACATCCCCGGTGTGGTTGATCTCGAACAGATCCTGAGGGTAGCACATTGTAATATGCCCCTTTGTCCACCAAACACGCACTCGGCCATCAGGGTAGTTGTCGATCACCTGGCCAGCAGTTGAATTAACATCCTCACCCGTGAAATTGGACACTCGAATCACCATTGTGCCGGGTCGGTACTGATAGTCGGAATGATCCTTCAAATCATAAACGCTCAGCTCCTCCAATTCTTTAAACAAAGGACTACAAAGAAGAAAATGAATTACAATTAATATTGCTAAATAATAAAACAAGATAGAATGCTATAGTCGAGTTTCCCGACTATTAGATACCCGTTACCCAGCTAGTGAAAGTGCAAACGAGAAATTTAAACATTTTCTGGAACATCGGTAGAATACACAATTACATTTTTCAAATCAGAAAAATTACAACAAAATTTAGAAAAAAATACATTTCCAAATTTTAATGCAGTTTTTTAGAGAATTGCTCCAGAAATGTTTAGAGGTATGCCACTTTAAATTCCGATTGAGATTAGTTAAGTTATGGACTGCAGAACTTCAGCCTTGGGACATTTTTTAGTTTTTTTGAATTTCTACAATATCATATCAAAAAATTTACAAAAAAACTAAAAAAAATAAAATTCTAAATTTGAATGCAGTTTTTAGAGAATTGCTCCAGAAACATTTAGAGGTATCCCACTTTAAATTCCGATTGAGATTAGTTGAGTTATGGACTGCAGAACTTCAGCCTTGGGAAATTTTTCAGTTTTTTTGAATTTCTACAATATCATATCAAAAAATTTACAAAAAAACTAAAAAAAAATAAAATTCTGAATTTGAATGCAGTTTTTTGGAAAATTGCTCCAGGAACATTTAGAGGTATCCCACTTCAAATTCCGATTGATATTAGTTGAGTTATGGACTGCAGAACTTCAGCCTTGGGACATTTTTTAGTTTTTTTGAATTTCTACAATATCATATCAAAAAATGTACAAAAAAACTAAAAAAAAATAAAATTCTAAATTTGAATGCAGTTTTTTAGAGAATTGCTCCAGAAACATTTAGAGGTATCCCACTTTAAATTCCGATTGAGATTAGTTGAGTTATGGACTTTAGAACTTCAGCCTTGGGACATTTTTGAATTTCCACAACATCATAACATCAGAAAAATTACAAAAAAATTAAAAAAAAATAAAATTCTAAATTTGAATGCAGTTTTTTAGAGAATTGCTCCAGGAACATTTAGAGGTATCCCACTTCAAATTCCGATTGATATTAGTTGAGTTATGGACTGCAGAACTTCAGCCTTGGGACATTTTTTAGCTTTTTTGAATTTCTACAATATCATATCAAAAAATGTACAAAAAAACTAAAAAAAAATAAAATTCTAAATTTGAATGCAGTTTTTTAGAGAATTGCTCCAGAAACATTTAGAGGTATCCCACTTTAAATTCCGATTGAGATTAGTTGAGTTATGGACTTTAGAACTTCAGCCTTGGGACATTTTTGAATTTCCACAACATCATAACATCAGAAAAATTAAAAAAAAAATAATATTCTAAATTTGAATGCAGTTTTTTGGAAAATTGCTCCAGGAACATTTAGAGGTATCCCACTTCAAATTCCGATTGATATTAGTTATAGAAATGTACAAGACTAATAAAAAAGATAATCGAGGCGTTCATACAGACAAATGGACATGGCTAGATAGACTCTTGCTCCTGATCAAGAATATATATACTTTATATGGCCGGAAACGCTTATTTCTGCCTGTTACATACTCTTCAACGAATCTAGTATACCCTCTTACTCTACGAGTAACGAGTATAAAAAATGCACTCACATTGGATTTTCTACATTGGTGTAGATGTTGAACCACATGACCTTGGCTATGCGTTCATCGTGGTCCACGCACTGAATGACCCCGTAGTCTGTGGCTCCCGTACTGTTCTCGTTAGCTTTGGTCACAAAGTCGCCGGGAAAGAATTCATGGTTGTCCAAATGATGGATAGGATACAGTTGAGTTGAGTGAATGCCCGTCTCCACCGTGCCATCCTGCCAGACGACCGTCACCGAGCTGCAAACGACCAGCGTTTCCACCACGATTTCATCGCCATCTTTGGGAGTCGATTCCTTTTTGGTAAAAGGCGTAGAAATTAGTTTCTTGACAGATCGCATTTTTTTCTTTACGTGTCGCCTCTTAGCAGATCGCAACGTTATTCTGGGAGCCTGGACGCCGACACCAGCACCGGCACCGGCACCGGATGCAGCTGTGGTAGCAGCGGACGGAGCCTGTGCATC